GGGAAAGAGAAGCAGGTAAGAGGCAGAATTTTGACCGCAATTTCCAAAAAAATTGGGCGGGCAAATGCTTTCAAAATAAATTAAGGGCCACTCGCCCGGGCCTGCCAGGACAGACCAATACAAAAGCCCTGAAAAAATAAGCTAAGCGGGCTGGCATGGCTTACTAAACTTAATAGCACTTTATTTATTTTTGTTTATGACTTTTTATATTTTTTCAATTTATTTATATTTATATTAATATCACTTCCATTTTTTTAAAAAAGAATATATTTTAAATAATAATTTTATTTATTTTATTTTTAAATTTTTTATTCATCTATATTTTTTTTATAAATAAAATTTGTTTTAGAGAGGGAAAAAAAATTATTTGGAGATAATATTTCTAATATGAAAATGCTTGCATAATATTTTTTTATTAAATTAATTAATGTATTTTTATTTCTATTATCATTGAATAAAAAATTTATTTTAATTAATAAATATAACAAACACAACTAGATAAATATTTTATTTTATAAGATTAAATATCTTGATTTGTATTTATTTTTTATTTTTTATTTTTATTTTTATTTATCATTTTTTTCATTTACTAACACATATAATACTTAAATTATTTAATTACATCTATGTATAAACTTTTTTATTTTCACTTTAATTTTTTTAACCATTAAAACCTGTCCAAAAACCTGCACATGTAATTCTTTTATCATTGAAAAAAATATCTTACTTGTTAGAATACGCTACTCGAGTATCTAGTATTAATCAAGGATGGTCAATATTCATCAAGAGACCATTTAATTTTTTTTTATATTATAAAGACTAAATTAATCGTGGTGGTAGATTAGAGGGATTGAGTTATAATTAACTCAACTAGTTCGGAGAGAAAATTTGAACTCTAACAGTCCCGTGAGTTATAGATTTTGATTAGATTATTATACTGCGCGAGTTATTTTTTAATTAAAATGATATTATTTTAATAAAAAAAATAAAATAAAAATTAATTGATCTTAACTAGATTTTTTACAGGTTTTACTAGATTAACCTGATAAGTTACCTTGATCATATCAATTTTTTTTTCTATTTTTATTTAACTAGACTCTAATTTCAAGGTTTAATATCACTCACTAGACCGGATTGGATTGATAATTAACACGTGAAGAAAAGGCAGCATAAGGAAGCTTGATCAAAAAAAATATTTTTAATTTTAATATATTAAAATAATTTTAAAAAATTAAATAATTTTTTATTTAAATTTTAAACCAATAATATTAATATTTTAAATGCAATGCCAAACATCATTTCTAATCAAAGCACTTTTGTTGTGTTGTCCACAGGGGAGGAGTCCGAGTTGTGTACATTATGGATGGAAGGAACAGCCAAACCTGCCGAGCATCAAAGAGAATATCTCCTACCTCAACAATCTTATCGACTAATAAATTTATATTTTTTTTTATTTATAATAAATTTTAAAACTACAAAAATTATTTAATTTGAGTTAGTGGGAATAGGTGGCTGACTCAACTTGTTTAAATTTTTTCTAAAAATATTTTAAGCATACATGTGAAGGGTGGTATTAAAATATTAATTGATTATAAATTTATTTATACTGATTTAAAGCTTTTCAAACATTAAATTTGGATAAATAATGATTTAACTTCTACTCCGATTTTAAATTTTCAAACAACCGAAAAAAGAATTGTTTTTTTTCTTTAATTGAGTTGAAAACTTTCAAATAGAAATCGAATATTAGAAAACAAGCAGTAAAAGTAATGGTTAAAAAATATGGGTAAATTTAATGAAATGTTAGGATGTCCTTTTCTTTAACACGTCGGCCTAAAAACAAAATGTTAGGATGTCCTCCCGCCCCAAAACCAAACCCCCCATCGACGGTTCAACCAATGCCACGTCATGTGACCGCAACAACGAAATCAATTTCCCCCTCCCTCATTCCTACCCTTCTATCTCCCCTTAGAACTACCACAATCCAGAGACGGATGAAAGCAGAGAAAATATCAAGAATCGACAAACAATTAATTCATCCATGTAGATCGTCAACCCTCTCAATCTCATAAAAAAAGCTCTAATTTTGTCGCAATGGACGAGACATTCTTCGATCTAATGGAGTTCTTAAAGAAACCTTCAATAACTGAAACATTCGTCGACATTTTGCTTTGTGCAGTACCGATATGGCTAGCCGTTATGATCGGCCTCGTTATTGGCTGGTCCTGGCGGCCTAGGTGGACCGGATTGGTATTTCTTGGCTTGAGGAGCAAGTTTAGGTTCCTTTGGGCTCCTCCTGGATTCGGAGCTCGGCGTCTCTGGCTCGCTTTTACGGCTCTATCTGCTCTCTCTGTTTGCCGCACCATTTGGTCCAATTTTAAGGGTAAAGATGGAAAATCAGTACCCGCCGCTGCGGCTTCATCTTCGGGAGCGAAATCGGGGGAGAGACGTGACGGTTCTGTTAGGTTAGTGGCTTTTTTTTTCTTGCTATATTTTTTTTTGGTTTCAAGTAATATTTTTGCAGTGGCCTTTTTCTGATTAATTGCAAGTTTGATTTTGAAATGAAATTAATTGTTGTTTATTTGGAAACCCTAGATGCGGGCTGCTCTAAAATCCTGAAAAGTTGAGGTACATTAGTAATAATGCTTATTTATTAGCAGGTCGCATACAACGATGGGATGTGCTAGTTTGAAATCATTGAGGCCTCTCGATTACAGTTGTGTAGTTGCATAGCAAGTTTTAAGGAATACGAGTGCTTTCGGCTACTGCTTTAAATTTGATAGGGGAAATGTCATGTGTTGGGGTAGAACAAGGTTGACGCAATAAACGGTGTTAAGCATGTATTTTGTGTATCCATTTCTTAAAGAGGTAATATCATAAATGATGAGTGTCTAAGTTCAGTTTCTAGTCCAGAAATTCAGTAGCGTCCAATATCCAGGGGCTTGGGACTTTGTACATTTCTTAGTTGTAATTGCACCTATGTGCTAGATATATTCATGCCTTGTTTGGGAAACCAGTTATAGGGGTATGAAATACCGGGTCCTGGTTATATTAACTGATTTCAAGTCACTGTTTTGAAGACTTAGTGCATCTGTCACTTCCATGTTTTGATTATTGAAGTTTTTATTAGTAACTGGTAGTGTCTCGTGTTATAAGCATGGTGAATAATTAAACAGCATTTGTAATGCCAATGGTTGCTTAAATGTTTTTATTGGGTACTGTCCTTTATTACTTGCATGGTCAAAAAGTAGATTTTATAGGTTCTAGTGAAACGCCATGTATATCAGAAGAAAAACACAGGGATTTTGTGCTTCAAGAAAAATTCTGTATTCCTGCCATAGTTAATACATAGTGTGTATCATCCATCCACTGTGAATTTTTTCATGAGAATGACTGTGCTTTAATTGAAAAGCAATAACATGCAGGTTCCAATCCAAACATTCTCAGTGAATGAAAATATCCATGTTATTAGTGGAGTTTGTCGCTCTTTCAGATAATGGATGTTTGGAGTTCTTTCTGACCTCTCTGGATATTATGATATATGATAATTGCAGCTTTATCTCAAAAACAAAAATAGTCTTTCTGTTTGCCATTTTAAACTCTCAGGATCTTGTGATACAAGTGAGTTGTGCCTTCATCTCCAAAAAAGAAGGGGAAAAAAAGGCCTCTCTTATGATATATGATAATTGTAGCTATTATCTAGAGATGATCTCAGACTCTTTTTATTGAAACAGTAACTTTTCTGAGGTGTTGACAGACTCTCTCTCTCTCTCTCTCTCTCACACACACACACACACACACACACACAAAAAAAGATATGACTGGTTTGATTGGATTATTGTAGGGTGGTGATAATTGATTTAGCTCGTCCCTGTTTGAGTTGTTTCCATATTAGATACCTTTGCTATCATTAATATGTTGTTTTGGAAATGGTGTACTGCTGGTTCGCGTAAATGACTTGGTTTGTGGTATGCTACTTTCATGCAGCTCCACTGGTGAGCTGGAGGACAGGGAGGACATTGTGACAGAGAAAGACTTAGAACACCTATTGCATCTGCTGGAGGGGAAGGATGGACAGAAGGAGTGGCAATGTATGATGGAAAGGTCAACCTCGAACATGAGATACCAAGCTTGGCGCCATGAGCCTCAGGTAGATTCAAACTGTGTTTCCCTGCTGAAATTCTCTGAGAGAAATAATTTTGTGGTTTTTATTCAACAACCACACTGTAACTACATATTTTTTGGGTATCATTGCTGTATGCTGGAATTGCTTATTATGGAGTTTATGGATATTGCAACTTAGTTCCCTTGGCATTTTCTGGATTTGGTCTTGAGGTGTGTTCATGTTATTACATTTGTCACGTATTCAAATGGCTGGTTGTTCGGCCAAAATGCCTTGTGCTGTGTGCCTAACATGCATTATCTAATATGTTTGTGTAACCCATTAGTCTATGTTTGATAATGTTCTTTGTTGGCCTTAATTTTCTTCAAATTGTGGCAAATAGCAATGCTAGATAATGATTTTGAGAGTAACACATATTTGTACCTGGTGTTGAGTTTTTCTATCAGGAAGGTCCCATTATTTACCGAAGTAGAACTGTCTTTGAGGATGCAACTCCAGAGTTGGTTAGAGATTTCTTCTGGGATGATGAGTTTCGACCTAAATGGGATCCGATGCTTGCATACTTTAAAATACTTGAAGAGTGCCCTCATACTGGTAGAATGATTGTGCACTGGATAAAAAAGGTTTGTTGTATAAATTATGCACAAAGTTCTATTTATTGATATCCTGTTTCCACTTTTTTGTTCAAACATGTTTCATTGATTGAGAAGAGGTTTGCTTCTCCAATCTGCAGTTCCCATTTTTTTGTAGTGATCGAGAATATATCATTGGTCGAAGAATATGGGATGCTAGGAAGGCATCTTATTGTGTGACCAAGGTACTGATGGAGATATATTGTAATTGTTGTTTGATGTTGCCTTTGTCCTTGTTTGTTTCTTTTTTATGCATTTCAAGAATAGGTCTCTGTCTGTTTATTAGGGAGGGAGAGTTTGATTGGAATTTTATGGTTAATTGAAGGATGAAATAAAGGCGTTTGGTAGCATAGTGGACTTCCTGATGATATATGAAAACTTAACGTGTTCTTTGTTGCCTCTGTCATTTCAATCATTGCTGTAAATGTTGGTGTATTGGCAATTAGATTGATATATCCCTTTTTAACCTGGATCTGAAACTTTTCTTCATTGTTGATGACTTAATGTAATTATCATGACCTGAATTTCTGGTCCGTGACCGGCAACTCTAGAGTGGTGCTATGAGGACACTTCACCTACACTAAACCGCAAAATATACATATCATAAAACAAACTATACAAAATTCGCAGTGTTTCATAACTTTCAAAATGCTCTTCAAAAACAATAAAAATCAATATGAAAATCCAAACTTCAAATAAAACAATGTAATAGTGGAGTGTCTAAGATATCAAATAAAAAATATGAGAAGAAAAGCCTTGCAAAAGCAAGCAAGGCGTACCAATCAAAAGCGAAGAAGCAGTAGCTCTTGACAAAGTCAACGTGTTAATAGAAACTAAGAACCTAAAAAATATATATATAATGAGGGGTGAGTTCAAACAATGCAGTAAAGGAATAACATTCAATATACATTTTAGATATTGTAAATTTTAAGTCTTATATAAATTGATATAAACATATATACATATTAGCATATGGTAGTAGAATACATGTTGGATGAGATAACATATGAAACTCTAAGGTTTCGAGAACATAGCATTGTGGGATGATCAATTGCCTCTCTGACCAGCTAGGTATATAAATATGATGTGCATAATGATTAACTACTCTTTGATAATATAGTATGGAGTTTTTGATAGGTCTAATATCAAGATATAATAGATATTCGTATAATTATCAAAGCAATTAAATGTGATATCGAATATAATTTAATTCAACAAAATGTGAATACATATTTAAAAAATTGATGTGTGCTAAAAGATAAACATATATAAATATTCAAGAAATAACTACTTGTGCTCATCTTCTAATCAATATGTTCATATTTATATTATATGCATATTAAAGGTTATTTCACTCACCTAGAAAACAAAAGCAAAAGATAAACAAACATAGAATTAGAGATTACTAAAGATTGTTAGGAGAAACTTCAATAAAACATATAACAAATACATAAAATACTCAAAGATGACTCAAAACATATAACATAAAAGATTTCAACTCTAATAGCAGAGACCAAGTGTAATTATAAAACCAAAACAAATCCATTCAATTGATCTCGAACATGTCCCAAACTGACCTACTTAAAAGAACCGATTGAATCTCATCACTCGGTCGACCGCCACCACATGCCAACTGGTTGGCCAGTTCAGACCAACCAGTCGATTATCACCATCAAGCCAAACTGGTCAGCTGGTTCAACCAACTGGTTGATTGAGATTCTATAATCTTGATCTGTTAGTCTTTCAAAATTTTGTAGATCCTCAAAATTCAAAATTCTAGTCCACAATCAGTTCGATTTAAGCCAAACTAATATCCTGAACGTATATTAAACCTGTTAAATAATTCAAACTTTAAAATCAAACTTAACCTGCATATTCAAACATAAAAAGAACATCAATATCTCAACTTAGAAGCCCATAACTCTAAAATCAAACTTTCACTTCTTCCCTTTCTTCCTCTTTTTTCCATCTGCCCCTCTTCATCTTTCAGTTCTCTCTCTCTACAAATCTGATTCTCTCTCTCCCTCTCTTTTCTCTTTACCATATATATACTTATCAAATCATATGAATTGTCCAATTTGTCCATCAATCATTAATGCCCATAACAATGCACACAAGGGCACTCGTTAACTTTTCAATCCATTTTATTTTTATTTTTATTTTGGGGCATTACAGTAGTATTACTATATCTAGCATTGTTTGTTACTATAGCAATCTTAGTTGACATTCAAGTCTACAACATCGCAGGGGGTGCCTTATCCAGGCCTGCACAAACGTGACAAGCCTAGGCGTGTTGAGCTTTATTTCTCAAGTTGGGTTATTAGGGCTGGTAAGCAATCTCTTTTTTCAGTTTCACAGACTTTTTCTTGAAAAAGCAATGGCGCATATTTTCTTGTGTCTTTGTTGCATGCATACAGTGGAATCCCGTAGAGGAGATGGACAGATGTCTGCTTGTGAGGTTACCCTTTTACATTATGAGGACATGGGGATCCCCAAAGACGTGGCAAAGTTGGGGGTACGACATGGGATGTGGGGAGCTGTCAAGAAGCTGCATTCTGGTATGAGAGCATACCAGAATGCAAGGAAATCGGAGGCTTCACTGTCCAGATGCGCGCTCATGGCTAGAATCACCACAAAAGTTTCTTTTGATGAAGGCATGGATTCTTCAGAACCAGTTGCTGGTGAAGAGGATAAAAGTCAAGCTGTAGATATCCGAAGACACAATGATCACGGAATTGATTGGAAATGGATAGTTATAGGTGGAACGGTAACGCTGGTTTGCTGTCTTCACTCCGGTGCAATTGGGAAGGCATTGCTACTTGGAGCAGGCCAAAGAATTGCACGGAGGTGAGAATTTTCAGATCAAAGATATTATGTACCTCCCCAACGGTTTCAAGGATTTGTGAAATTTTATCCACTTGTTGCGTTTTGCAAGGATTTGTGAAATTTTATTCACTTGTTGAGTTAAGGGCCAATATTTATCAAAGATCAATGATCAATATTTTTTTCATATTGTCTCTCTTTGTTAAGAATCTCCTGCGCCATTCCCCTCAAAAACTTTCATATTGGATCATCACTAAAGACACTTGTGAATTATGCAATTTCTTTTCTCCTGAGAAGAGAGCGAATATGGGCCTCGTGGGTGATCGGATTTTCACAAAAGCTACCAAACTCTAACAGTGAGGACCTAAGCGAGGATTTTGATTAGTAGGCCAATTCAAGTCGATAGGCTTCTTCACCCAGACAGGTTTTCAAGCATTTGGAGACTGAGATGGCTTCGAGGGAGGGTTGGGATGGAATTGTCGGCTCTATCCAATATCCAAGTGAAGTTTTTTTTTTTAATTGTTTTTAATATGTTAATGTTTAAAATAATTTTTAAAAATAAAAAATATTATATTAATATATTTTAAAATAAAATATACATTAAAAAACAACTGCTATTATATTTTCAATCATAACCTATAAGGATAGAAAAACAAAAACAAAGATGGACGATGGAGGATAGCAAGGTTGCTAGGGGACAACGAGAGATAGACTAGACAACTTGGGGAAGTATGGACGACTGCGTTTGACTTTGATTTAGTGTTAGAAGAAAATTTACCATTTATACTTGTTTTTTTGAAGTACTTTCACTACTGGTTAAACTGATCTATTTCAAGTGATTTTAAACTTTTAAAAGAAAATTTGAACCAAACCACCATAATTTTTCGGGTTCTCTTTTCGATTAATTCATTTTTTTTCAATTAAATTTTTATGGTTTTTTTGTTTAATTATTTTTTCTTAATTTTTTTCTCACCTCTAAACTCAACATCCATTACGTTGATTAAAATTATGTATCCTTATAACTTTAGCCGACTAAAAGTTAATTGTAGTTTTTAAAATGCACAGTACTTTATTTACATCCGTATTGTCTTCAACGAGTCATTTCTTAATAAAAATTTTTAGTTTTGTGTTTTAAAATGAGGTGGTATTTATATTTCTAAAAAATTTAAATTTTTTATTAGAAATTAATTTTTTATATATTTTGGATTTTTAATCTTAAAATAATTTTTAAAAAATAAAAAATATATATTATTTTATATATTTCACGAAGGAGGAGCAGAGCATTAAAGAAGCAATAAAATATTCAATTCAAATACTGTAGCATGCATATCATTTATAGCAACGGAGAACACACGCATATGCGTGTGTGTGTGTGTCATTACCCATAAAAAAAAAAAAAAAAAGTCTTACTTTATATATAATTTGTCACTCGCGTTTAAAACTATATTTTAATTTTGCTATATTGTACCAAACCCGAGCCAGCTGCAACCATGGATGACAATGGGAAGCTGCAGTTGGATTTTTTAATATTTATATTTTATTTATTAAGTTTTGGTTATTTAATGAATATCTGTTATTTATTAATTAATAATAATACAATAATTAATAATTAACATATATTTAAAGTATATATTAAATTATAAAATATAAAATATTATTTATATATAAATGTTTTATGTTAATATATATATATATATCAAAACACTATTCCCGCAGCAAATAGTGACAGCAGTCAGTAGCGCAACGGGCAACGGCAGCGTTAACAGACGCCGGCAAGCTAGCCACGTTCCCGATCTCCGATCTCCCTCATCGGCTGGAGGAGAGCATCGCCGACGAGTATAAGAGATTTAGAAGGCCTCGACCCTGCTGTCCAAGTCCCATTTTCACCGTTGTGTGAATCCACGCGACACTGCACGAGCTTCCCCACTCCAATTGGTTTGTTGTTTCTTGAACTGGGTTTTTATTATTTTCCAATTTCTACTGGAATAAAGTCTTACAACACCAGTGAGTATTTCAGTTTCTGGCATAGTTAAGCACTTTGTTGGATTAGTTTCTTTTGAATGATGGTTTTATCCTATACTGGGTGAGGATTGAAACTGTTGCAGTTAGGTTTCTTTTTTGGTTTATCGTAGAAAACAAGGATGGTTACCATCAGATGCTGCTTTGAAGGTTGAACTTTCTCTCTGTAAATATGCTCAAAACAACATATGTATATTATAATTCTCTATAATCTGAAGAAGAAGAAAAATAACCAATGCAGTCAAGAAATTTATCTAGTGGACACTGATCTTAACTTTTCTTTCAGATAGTAGGTTATATCAACTTGTGGATCACTAAGAAGAATTTTAAAGGTCCTGATTCCATTTCGTGTTGAAGGTGAAAGTTCTTGTTCCCAGCAGCTAGTTGTGTATAAGGACTTAGAGGGTGACTGGGACTTGTTTAAGGTAAATTACATTCTTGCATAGAAGATTATTTGATGTGATTTTGGATAAAATAGTTTTAATCTCTTCTCTGTATCCAAATGTGGTTCTGCCATTCCTTAAGAGCTTAATGGTTTTGAGTTTATAATGCCAATACCATGTGAAACTTTCCAAAAGATTTTTAGAAAATGCATATTTCTATGGTATGCATCATTATTGAAAGGATATAGATTGCAATGTACAAATTGAGAGTTATGTTTATTATGAGCAAGTATGTGATCTTTGATATGTTTGTAATGCTTCATCATAAAATGATGTTGTCAAAGACTAGTACAAAGTCAATATATATGCTTTCTTTCAGCAATTTTTTTTCACTGGAAAAATAAAATAAAAGGTAGGGGAATTAGAAAAGGTAAATAAGAGAAATTGTAAAAAAATTTAACAATTTTTTTCAGAATAAAAAAAAAGAAGTAAATGACCATTTGCTGTCAGTGGAAGCTATGAGCTTTATTGATATCAAATATATTGAGATTTCATCACAAAATTGTAGCTACACATTTGATGTAATTTTGTTCCTTTCCGGTTATGATGTGTTTTGAGGGCTCTGTTTAATGGGTTTTTGTTGGTCCTTGTACATAAATAAATGGATTCTCTAAAATGTCTATTATGTTTGTGCAGGAAGGAAATTTGAGGTCCAATTAATTATTGTTAAGGATGTCCAGGTTTAGATCACTTTGGCAAGCTTCTTTGGAGGCTACCAAGAAAGGCACTTCCTTTGATTTTTTTTCTTCTTTTGCTTGATAATGGTTTCTTCATGCTATACTGCAAAGTTGTAGTTATGATCACAACTCACAGAATTTTTCATGTTTATAGCTCTCACGTGGAATGTGGAAGACTTGATACCCCCAACTGAGAGGCTCATTTTTAATTTCAATTCTAGGGAAGAGCTAAAGAAGTGGCATCTTTATTCTGATTCTGAGTATGGAGGTAAAAAAAATTATTTTTATTTTCATTTTCTGAGGGTTTTTTTTTATATATAGTATGCTTTCATCATCCATTTATTGGTTAAGTGAGCTCAATTGCTAGAAATTACTGTTGTTTCCGTGTCTTTAAAAGACAATTCCACTAGGAAAATTTGGTACTGTCTAGTATATATGAAAGTTTATAGAAGCATATGGGTGAATATCATTTCTTGAATCCCTCCATTAGTACCCTACCTTTGAATGATTGTGACTGGGAAAGTCTTGGGCATGCGGTAAATCACTATAGACTGATCAAGCCCAACAATTTTACTGATCAAAGTTTTAGTTGTTTATTTATTCAGGTTCGTCCTCAGCTTCATTGGAGATCATGGATGAGGGAAATGGACTAAAAGGTATCAGCCTGTTCCTGTTATTTCTTCACATATTACATTACAATTTTTCGCAAAAGTGATGGATTCCATGGCCCTCCAACCCGTGTGTTTATTACTTTGCTATTTCAACTTCAGTATCATTTAATATTGCACTTAAAAGTCTGAAGCAACGGGAAGTAGCATGTGGTTCTTTAAATCAATTACTAACAAAGAAATTTAGATTTGGAATTCCCAACCTTTGGCAACATCACATGGAAGGTCCATCCTCTTCTACAACAGGGATCTCAAGCCCTTCATGTGTCGAATGTAACTTGACAAGTGTACTCCTTCATCGTCTTTGTTTTTTATGGACCCAAAACTTATATTGGGTTTCTGTTAATTTTCATGTCTAGGGATGGTTCTTATTCATACAGCTTTGAAGGAATAACTTCATTTTCCAAATTAGCTTTGGTTAATGTAGGAAATTTTTTAGGGCAACTGTTGGTGTGATTTTTATTTCGATGTGACTTGCAAGGATGTCATAAATCAAGCCAACTATGTTTTGTGCTGAATTATGCAGTTTTTCTCTCCAATTTTATTGATAATCAAGTAAGTGGGGAGTTATTTTTTATTGGTTGATGTACCAGTTTGCCTGTAGAGAAGAATTAATAGGATGTTATCTGTGCAGTTCACAAATAACTAATAGACTAAAGCTCTTCAACCTGGGAATGCCTTTACTTCATTCTGAATGTTGTTTCTGGCTGTTTTCTTTTCTTGAGGAAGATCACACTCTGCGTGAATTTTAAATCTCTTATTAATTGTACTTCAAATGCAATTGCTGCTTTCAGATTTCTTCTGCCTGTGATTATTTCATTGCCTTACATGTTACATATTTGACTTATAACAACAGATCAGTCCGGAGTTATTCTATTAGATCATGAAGCTTCTAGCAATTTGATAACTTGGTTTTAATTGTAATCGGCTATCTTATGCAGTTGGATTTTTTTTGTTGTTTTTGACCATGCATCATGTACATTCACGCCACTTGATGAAAACTGATGCTTTCTGTTAGAAAAATGCTGCATGCCTGCCAGTGTCAACTCTGCAAATTAGAGCTTGTGAATCCTACACTGTTTTAACTTCACCACTTCCATTATAGCACCACTTCTTGTCAATTTTCATGCTTTTCACTTGTGATTCCTGATTACTTAAATTTACCTGATAGGAGTCTTCTCTGGTAACCTGTCATTGGATGTAGCTGAGGGTTCAAAGTGGAATATTAGTAGGAGTGGTTTCTGTGGAATGCGGTCCAAGAAGGTGAATATTGAATAATATTTTCAATTATGTTTTCACCTCAGGTGCTGCTTATATAGTGTGTAATGCATTTCTTTCACATTAAATAATGGGTTCTCAGATGTCAAATGCATGACTATCAAAA